CTCTGCCCAGCTCTGCCCCACCGACAAGACGATGGAGTTCGGCCGGGATTTCCGCATCAAGCACTACGCCGGAGACGTCACGTGAGGGGGGCAGGAGGGGACCATAGGACCTTGGAGGGCCACGGAGTCGTTGGGGACCACGCGGGTGTCTGTGGTTGGCCATGGTGCCATGGGCGTGGGGGCTAGAGGGGACCATAGGGCACCTTGGAGGGCCACAGGGTCATTGGGGACCATGCGGGTGTCTGTGGGCGCCTCTGCCCAGCTCTGCCCCACCGACAAGACGATGGAGTTCGGCCGGGATTTCCGCATCAAGCACTACGCCGGAGACGTCACGTGAGGGGGGCAGGAGGGGACCATAGGACCTTGGAGGGCCACGGAGTCGTTGGGGACCACGCGGGTGTCTATGGGTGGCCATGGCACCATGGGCATGAGGGGCTAGAGGGGACCATAGGGCACCTTGGAGGGCCACAGGGTCATTGGGGACCACGCGGGTGTCTGTGGATGGCCATGGTGCCATGGGCGTGGGGGCTAGAGGGGACCATAGGGCACCTTGGAGGGCCACAGGGTCATTGGGGACCACGCGGGTGTCTATGGGTGGCCATGGCACCATGGGCATGAGGGGCTAGAGGGGACCATAGGGCACCTTGGAGGGCCACAGGGTCATTGGGGACCACGCGGGTGTCTATGGGTGGCCATGGCACCAAGGGGTTGGGGGCAATGCGGCTGTAGGGTGTCCTGGTGGGTCATGAGGAGCCATAGGGTGACACAGGGAATGTTGGACGTTGGTGGGTGTCATAGGGCCATGGTGAGCTGTGAGGAACCATAATGGACCATGAGGGTTCATGGGGAGCCACAGGGCACCTTGGGGGGAGATGGTCATCGATGGGTGTCATGGGGCCATAGGGAGCCCTAGGACACCGTGGGGGACTGCAGAGCCATAGGGGACAATGGGGCTGTAGAGGTCTATCGGTAATCACAGAAGATCATGGGGGACTGTAGGAATCCATGGGTGGTTGTGGGGGAGGCATAGGGACCACCTCCCCCCACCCCACACCCCACCACCACGAGGGGCAGGGGGCATCATGGGGACAGTGAGTGGCCATAGGGAGTTGTTTCAGACAACAGAGGGACATGGGGGACCCTGTGGGATTATGGTGGCCATGGAGGACCATCAGGAACCATGGGAGGCTATGGGGGACCTTGGTGGGGGGATCATTTGGACTAGGGGGGAGTGTGGGAGAACGGGGCACCATGGGGTTCCCCCAGGCTCCCCAGGGGAGCACCCACCTTGCCTCCATGGGGCTGGATAAGGGCTTGGGGCCGGGTACCCGTGTCCCAGGAGGAGGTTCTTGGCACCCTGGTCCTGCAAGAGCCCCCTGCAACCTACAACAAGGACTGGGGGATGTAGGGCTGCCCGGACGCCTGGGTCCCTCGGGATGTGGCTTTTTACAGGGCCAGCATGG